TATTAGAAGAGATATGTAAAATTTATTTTAAAAAAAAAGATGACTTTGAAAAAAATTATAAGATAATTGTAATATGCTTAAGTTTTTTTTTTATTATATTTTTAGTATTAATAAAAAGATTGATATAATAATTTTTTTATAAAAAAAATTAACTTTCTTTTTCTTAGCTTTTCCTCTAAATTGAAGTATTAAAAAAATTAGATTTACAAAAAAAATCAAAGATTATTTGATTTTTACCTCTTTTCCTTTCTTTAAATTTAGAATTTATCCAAACAAGAAAAAAGGGATTTTGTTTTCTTTCACTTTACTTTCCTTTACTTCCCCTCCTCTCAATCCAAACACACTGTTAAATATTCTCATATATGATTTGAACATAAATGATGCTTAAGACGAAGAACAAAGATAAAAGTGTGCAGGTCGTGCATCATCCACAATATAACCACAAACTAAAGAAGCTTTTACTACAATAGTTAGACTATTAATGAAATATCAATTTCTCTTGCATCATCTGAAAAAGTATTTTACAGCTTATATACAATGAAAAGAATTACACATCAATTCCATCTGTGGTATTTTTGACAGTTTAAAAGAAGGACAAAATACTAACGCTTACGAAATCTAATCAGATTCAATTGTTAAGCTTAGTGTAACCATTGTAGCGAAGGATAGGGTCATGCAATTCTGAGTTGAATATGTTGGGGTCATGCAATTTTAAGCTGGATACATTCGTAGATTCTTTCCTTTCTTTTCCTGTCTTTCTTTTCCTTTTCTTTCATTCCCTTTTCTAGTTATAAACTCTGTACTCTACTGAACCATATCATTGGTATGGGAGCAGAGATTCTGGTATGGTTGAAGGAAACACCACGTGGTTGCAGAAGGTTGGATAGCTATAGAAAGACATAGATCAATGGCAGGAGTTTGGAAAATTAGATGCCAAGTTGGGAACCACTGTGGCTCAGTCGAAAAAAGATTGGAAAAGGGATATGAACAATGGGCTTGATTGGTTGGAAGCTAAAATGGAGAAAATGTTTAATCAATTGATGTCAAGATCGGATGGTTCATCAAAAGGTTTGATCATGGGTGAGTTGGTAAAAGCTCATACTTCTTCAGCTCAACAAAATGGATTTTAAAGATCAGTAGTATGAAACAACTTCTGTCTATCAGTGAACTTTCTTTCACCTCGGAAGTTCAAACCAAATATTCCAAGTTGGAATGCCCAGATTTGATGGAGGTGATTTCAGAGATTAGCTATTAAAGATAAAAAGGTTTTTATATAACCAAGCAGTAGGATAAGGTTAGAGTGGTGATGATGCACTTGGATGGTAAGGCCTTATAATGGCACTAGCTGTTCATGAAGAACGAAGGTAAACTATTCGATGTAATCTAGGAACAATACATTCAAGAAATGAGAGCTAGGCTTGATATGAATGAAGGAATTTTTGACCCATTCTGTAGATGAGTATTATGAAGAGTTTGAAGGGTTGTTGAACATGATAGTTGTTAGATGAGCACGCATTTAGTATTTTCAATAGCAACCTAAATCCTGATTTATCAAAACCTGTAAGAATGTTATATCCAAAAAATTTAACCCATGCCTATAACTTGGCCAAACAAATTGAAGCCTTAATATTTAACTTACCTCAGAAACCTTCAATTCCTTATAAAACCCCCCTAATAGCACGTCCCTTACGGATTATTACTTCTAATCCACCCAAGCCTATCACTGTTCCATTACTTCCTACACCTAAAGCTTCATTCCTTACCTACAATCAAACTACAAAAATTGTCAACCCAACCACAACACCTGCCCTTACTTATAAGACCTATAATAACATATAGATCTGTAAATCTATAGTTAGATTTAACAAAAGAAGTAGCCACCAATTTTTTTAACTAGATGTGATTTATCACCTAAGGGATCTATCATTTTAAGTAGCTCTTAAGCTTGACTATTGGTCCCTAAAAGAATAGGTTCGAGTTTACAAATCAGAACAAGATTCAATAGTTTGATTATATATGGAAAAGGTTATAGCATCCCTACATACCCATCTAAAGGATGATATCATTTTATTTTAAATTATCCTTAGGTCTTGATTCTAATGGTTTTAAAATTTATTATTCAAATATTAAAAATAATTCTTAAGACTCTCCATCAATCTAGTATAATTTTTAAAAATATTTTCTTATCTCAAGAGCATTCAAGAATCTCATTTATTTTTTTGAAAAGGCTCCGTCGTCAAAAGGATTTTTTGTTAGTTTTATTTTTTGGTCGAAAATATATCTAATTATTCTACTATTTGTGTCAAATTAAAAATATTTTCTCTTTTTAAATTTTTAAAATTTTCACCATTTGGGCCTATTTAGAAATTCTTTTTATTTCTCTTTTTTCTTTGAAAAAAAATAATATGACAATTATTTTTTTGAAATTTCATTTAAAATTTTTCACCATTTGGAAAAAATTTATCATTTAAAATTTTTAAGAGTCACATCATTGGATAATTGTCAAATATTTTTAACCAAAATTTTATTTTTTTATTTTTTTTATTTTTTGTTTGAAAATAAATATTAATTATTGTTATTGAAACTTTATCTAAATTATTCCACCATTTGAGACAAATTTAGATAAAAATTTTCACCTATGAATTTTATAGAAATTTAATATTTGAAATTTATATAAATTTTATCATTGGATAATTAATACTGATTTTCAAAAAATATTTTATTTTTTTCTTTTTTTTTATTTTTTCTCAAATTTAATCATGCAAAAATACTAAAGAAAAAAAACACAAATAAAATACTTAATAAAAAAATACAAAAAAAAGGCCCAGCTCAAGGGGCTTGGTGCGGTTCAGCTCCAAGCACAAAAAGCGACTCGGTGGATGTGACTTTGCTACTCAACTAGGCTCAAGAGATCGGCTGGTACACGAGTCAAAAACGGATCAGGACTACAGGTCAAGTCGCCCGAATGGAAACGCGCGGATCTTGATGGGTCTCTTAATGCCAAAACAATGCCATTTTCAAAGGGTATAAATAGCAAGAATCCGATCTTTTCCCTTATATTTCTCCTTCTCCCTCTCTCTCTCTTCCCATTTCTTTTCTCTCTCTCTCTCTCTAACTCAGATAAACTTTGGTTGAATCCTTTACTAGATTTTGAAAATTTCATCGGAATTTGAGTTGGTTCATCAAAAGTTTACCAAAAAGTTCAACTAGTGCTAAAATCTTCAATTAGATCCTGAGAAACCTATCAAAAAATTCAACCGACGCTAAAAAATTCATTAAAAACTAAAAATTTTTTGAAATTTTTTTTAAAAAAATTTTTTACCCAAAAAATTCCTACAAATTTCTAAATGTTTTTGCGCATGTTTTTCTTGATATCTCTATTTTTGTTTTTCTATTCTGTGTGATCTGTGTTCTTTTTTTGTGTACTTTAGGATTGTATTTATAAAGAACAATCAACAGAATTTCTGATCAGTTAGGAATTCCCCTTTGATTGGATTTCCACATGATCAGAAAACCTAAGATTTATTTTGAAAAAATTAAAATCAATTGCAATTATGTCAGTGCCTATATATGGTAGAATTTATATTTTTTTTTTTTAGCTGTTATCTATTATCTTAAAAAAAAACTAAAGATAAATCAACTAAAAATGAAAAATAAAATAAAATAAATAAAAAATAAAAATAAAACAAACAGTTGAGCTTAATTACTTGGACCCCATTAAACCGAGCCTAATGGGCTTAGGCTCAGACCTTATTGAACCATGTCCAATGGATTTGGGCCCAAACCAATTAGGATATCTACAAAACCAATTCCAGTAAACCAGATTATACCACACCTAAAAGCAACAGGTTGCCTACAAAAGAAGAAAAGGATGAAAGGAAGAAGAAAGGGCTGTGTATGTGGTGCACTGTTAAGTTCACAATGGGGCCTATGTGTATAAAATCCCAGTTATACCAATTGTTGATGGATAAAGGTATGGAAATAACCAATGAGTAAGATGAATTTTTCAATTGCTTGGAGTTATTTGAGGATTTCAATACTAATGGGGTGAAGCTGCAAATAAACCCACTATTTCCTTACATGCTTTGAATGGTAGACATTTCCAGATTAAAACAGATAACCAAAGTCTTTAATTCCTTTTGGATCAAAAGACCAACACCCCAGTTTAGCAACTGTGGGAGGTCAAAATGATGGGATTCGACTCTAAGGTGGTGTTCAGAAAAAGAGCTACTAATTAAGCAGTTAATGCATTATCAAAGAAACTTGCTGCACTGGTATATGCTGTTTCTACTGTTGATAATATTTTGGCTGACAGGATTAGGCATTCATGGGTGGCAAACCCTACTTTAATCAAAATTATGCACAAGTAGAAGTGTGATTCTATTGTAGACTCTAAATTCTCTTGGCATGCATGTCAGTTAAAACGCAAGGAAAAATTAATGGTGGGGCTAATGCTGAACTAAGACAAGAGTTAACGAAATATTTTTACAACTCAGTAGTTGGAAGGCATTTTGGGATAGAAGTCACTATGAAAAGAATTGCCAGTGTAGTTTAATGGAAGGGTATAAAGAGGGAACTAAGGCAGTTTGTAAGGTAATGTGTGATCTGTCCTAGAGAGAATTTGAACTGATGTGTCTATGGATTTCGTTGAAAGACTACTGAAGTCTTGTGGGAAGGAAGAATGGCCAGTGTAGTTTAATGGAAGGGTATAAAGAGGGAACTGAGGCAGTTTGTAGGGTAATATGTGATCTGTCAAAAAAACAAGTATGACATAGCCGCATCACCTTGGATTGTTGCAACTGCTGTGTTCTAGAGAGAATTTGAACTGATGTGACTATGGATTTCGTTGAAAGACTACAGAAGTCTCGTGGGAAGGATGTGATTATGTTTGTTGTGGAGCGGTTAAGTAAATATGCTCATTTCATTACTCTTTTCCATCCTTATTCAACCATCATAGTGGCCCAAGCTGATTTATTTGGATAATATATAAGCTTCATAGAATGCCTAACAATATAGTTTCTGATAGAAATAAGGTGTTTACTAGCATGTTTTGGAAAGGATTATTCAAGTTGTTGGGAACTGAACTCAAATTATCTACATCTTACCATCCTCAAACAGATGGACAATCAGAGGTGGTAAACAGGTGCCCGAAACATATCTTAGGTGTATGACAGGGGAAAGGCATAAGGATTGGTCTAAGTGGATTCTTTTGGCCGAATGGTAGTACAATACTAGCCACCATACTTCTATCCAAACTACACCTTATGAAGTGGCGTATGGCCAACCAGTTCCAACACTTATGCCATATCTACTTGATGACTCTAAGGTAGGTGCTATTGATCGAAGTTTACAAGCTAGGGAAACAACTATCCAACTTCTGAAGTTTCCTTTCAACAGGGCGCGGAATAGGATGAAACAACAAGCAGAGAAGCACAAGTTGGATAAGACAGTCTAATATAGGAGACTATGTTTATGTAAAGCTTCAAACCTACAGGCAGTTATCAATGGTCAATAGGCCATGTTTGAAGCTGGCAGCCAGGTTTTTTGGTCTTTACAAGGTGTTGGACAAGGTTGGTTTTATGGCTTACAGGTTAAAGTTGCCAGAGAGAGCTAAAGTCCATCTATTGTTCCATGTATCGCTGCCGAAGAAGAATGTGGGTAACGAGCCTGCAAAATTCGATTTTCTTCCATTGGACAGAGATGGGACAATAGCTAAGGAACCTATCCAGATATTAGACAGAAGAATGAATAAGAAAAGGGGTAAGCTCGAGGTACCGGTTTAGTGGAGTAATTGCTTTCCTGAGGATGCTACTTTGGAGGTTTTATACTAGTTGCAGAAGAAATATCCATCCTTTGATCCTTGAGGACAAGGATCCTTTCAGGAGGTGTGTATTCTGTTTCAAGCTGAAGAGTGAGATGGATGAGTGGGCTTAAAGGGTTGATCGTGAAGGCCAGCCTAGTAATTTAAACGTATTTTAATAACATATTTTAATTTTCAATTAAAACAGTTAATGTCTAGATTAGTATCTGCTGGCAACAGTGTCTGTTATATTTAGCCATTGTAACGAAGGATGGGATCATGCAATTTTGCGCTTACTACAATCATAGAATCTCTCCTCTCTCTTCCTATCTCTCTCTTTTTTCCTTTTCTCTCACATTCTCTTTTTTATTATAAATTGTGTACTCTGTTGAACCATATCAATCATCCAGTTCCATGCTTGAAACTTGCAAGGCCGATGCCAACGACGTCGCGACTACTCTGCTATCTTTTTTTGCAACGGAGAAAATCAGAAAAAGATTTAAAAGCTGAAGCCCGAAACAGCCCTACATTTTAACAAGCGGCTAGTATTAAGATGCAAGCGACGTCGTTCTTTTGAATCTTACACGGGTGGGTAATTTTGATTTTGGAAGCCAGAGCCCGGGGCCTCCCACCCTCCTTACAGCCTTTCAAATTTCGCATTTTAACAGGAAATTACACAATTATTGGTTAAAACTTAAAAGTACGATAACTGTACCGATATGTTGAATCCAAGAAAAAAAAAACTAGTATTTAACTATGTGCACCATAAAATTACGAATTATTGATGAGTAATTCAAATTAACTACTAGTATATAGAATGAACCAAATAGATATTCATAGTAACGTTAATTCTATAAGTTTAACATTTTTAAATCTTTTTTAAAAAAATGCAGCCGTTAATTATGCTAATCTTCTTTTTTTCAAAGCTTGTTTGCTTGTGGAAATCAAGATGGAGAGTTGGTGGTGATACCCTATATCAATCTATTGTCTTGCAAAATTTTATCAAAAAATAATAATTCTAACCAAACTTTAATGGTGTTATAATATTCTAGTAGCATATTTTTTTGAATGTTGTGCTATAGGTAATTGTTCATACCCATATCCATTCTTAATTTATTAGAAATGAAAATTTTATGTTAAACTGTAATTTTTAAAATTTTTATATTTTACTCTATAATCCAAGTATAAATATGTGGGATAAGTTTTAATTTGATTTTTGTTACGGTTTTTTGGATATTATTTCTTTTTTTTTTTTGTTGTAAAAATTATTATTTCAAATTTAAGTCAACTAGTTATATAATCATTCTTGAAGTGATATTTAACAAGATTGAAATTCAAATTTTTAGACCTATAATCTTTTTTTTTATTTATAAATTACAATATTTTTTGTAAAAGAAAATTTATTCATTTTAATAAGTCTTAACAATATATAACTTCCTCGAAAATTAATGTTTTTTATAAATAAATTCTGTTAAAAAAACTTAGGTTTGATTTTAAAAAATTAACTTTTGAATTTTAAATTTAATAAAAATACGTGTAATAAAATTTATGGAAACAAGAATATATGTAGTTATATTTATAGATTTATGAATTTGTTATATATCTATGTTGACTAATGAATTTTGGATACATTTAGGACATAGAAATAATATGATAAAATAAAACAAGTAAATAATTACCATATTATAAATATTTGGGTGATAAAAGTAAATTTTCCTTTTTTTTTTTTTTACAAAACTTTCCAATTTTAAATTCATCTTTTAAACTCTATTTAATGCCTACTACATAGTTATTAAAAAATTTGCTTACTACGTAGAGTTATTAAAAATCTTAAATAGTACCAATATTTTGCATTCACATTTGTATTTATATTACAACAAATAAAACATTAAAATTCAATCTCTCATTTATATTCTCTCATGAAGTACAAACAAAATTTGAAATTAAATTTTTTTTTTATCTGAGGAAGAGAATTAAAATTCCACTCTTTGAGCAAAATGTCATGCATCAACCATTTAACTGAACCTAATACTCATATGTATTAAATCAGAATTAAAAGTACTAATATAGAAGGATGAGATATGATTGTTGGTTTCTTCTCCTACGTATATAATATCTTTGAAAAGATATGGATAAAGCAGGCAGGTTACAGATGAAACAAAGTCGTCCAAGGAACAGAGAAAGTGAAGACAGCACTCCTTCCACCCTCTAAAGTCTTTCTACACCCGTACCCAAGTCTTCATCTTACAATCTACATGTACATCATGCTCCGTGTACTGTATTCTTTGAGAAATTCTATTTACAGCCTAAAAATTCTCTTTATATCCACATGTTAAACAAAATCAATTTTAAAAACCCTAACACATATGATATGATTTTAGTTTTGTATTAGATTTTAACAAGGACGTTAAGTTCCAACGAAAAAATTATTATATTTTTAATTTTATATTGAAAAAATGTGAGATTATAATATAATATTTAAATAAAAATTTATATTTATATTTATGAAATATTAAAATAAACAGATAATATTTCACAAATTAAATATAATTTTTCATAAATTTTTAAATTGATTTTGTATTTAAATGTTAAAAACAATGTGCTTGAGCCTGACGAAAATGCATATTCTTTTAATTTAAATTATGAACAAATATGCATATTCATCTACATTTGAAAGCAGAATGATATGCATATTTATTCGCTTTTGAAACTTGATAAAAATGTGTATCCGTCTGATATCAAACACTGACAGATACAAATATCCATTTGCATTTGAAAGCAGATGGATATACGTATCCGTCAGCTTTTGAAATCAAACCGATAAGTATATCCATCCATTTTTCAAAGGACGGTGTTTGAAAGGATTAAAAAGTAATTTCAACAAAATTAATTAAGTCGTTCATTTTAAGAATATTTTTGCATTTCTTCAAAAAAATTAGTTTTATCATAAAAATATTATGGCTATAAATAGTAAAAATTGAGTTGCATTTAGAATTATCCTGCATTGCATTCTCTTTTGACAAAAGCATGCTACGCTACTACTAACTAATTTATAAACAAATAAAGTAGTGGTAGTAATTAGTAAGTTTTCAGTATGGTAAATGGAAAGTAGTAAAGAGCTATTAGATAGTGGTATCAAAGCCAGGAATGAGAGGCTAAAATTGTTTTTTTATCTTATTTTATGTTGATGTTCGGTATAAGGTACTCATCTTAAAAATTATGATGTTTTACATATAATAATTAAATTATTATATTTAATAAGTATTTGATGATTTAATGTGACAGTAATTTTGATAATAAAAAGTGATTAAATCGATAGCTTAAAAGATAATTTAATTCTCATCTAATAAAGTGACAAACTTTTATCAACAAATGTAATGATATGCAAATTTTATAAGAGTCAATATTATGTATTTAATATCTGAATTAAAAATTTATTTTTATCAAAATTATTATTATTTTATATTATAATTTTTTATATTTTTAAATTAATATTCATTGTAATAAAATAAAAAATAATTTATGTGCTTTCTTTGAACTTTTCTTAATGTTTTATATATACAATATAATCTTTTACGTTTCTTTTGGTATAATTTTAATAAATTTGTTTTACTTTTTAATTCAACTACTTTTTTTATAATTTACACTATAAAAATTAATTTATCAATTAATAAATATGTTTGTTAATTTAATAATTTAATTATATTTTCTTATGAAGTAAATAAAATAATACTAATATTTTACATAATTTTATCTTTAAAAAATCATTAATTTATGCAAGTATTATCATATATATAGTTATTTTTGTTTTTTTAAATAAAATAATTTTTATTTTTAATAATGTCAAATACAATAATTTTTAATTTTTAAAAATTAATACTTATGAAAAAATAATTTTAAATTAAAAATAATATAATTATTTTAATAATAATATCACTTCAATTTAATTAAATTATTATGATAATCTTAAAAATAATACCATAAGTTAAAACCTTTTAAATGGGCAATTTTAAAAGTTAAAATGCAGAAGGAGAGAAAGGTGGGGAGGCACAAAGCACTTGTTGCAAAGTTGTATTCAAAGCCACAGAAATTAACATTCTCTCTCCCTCCCTCCCTAAAACTCCCAAATAAAATGCACCCAAACATAGAAAGTAAAGCAAAGGAAAATAAAGCTAACAAATCAAAAAAAATAAAAAAGAAACTTTCGTTTTTTCAATAATTTCCGTCAAAACAGAGGTAACACCTCCGAAAAGAACAAGAGATAGTATCCCTTGGAGCAGGGGCTTTTGCAAGATTCAATACAAACATCTCCGAAATCCAATAAAATCATAAACAGATAAAGGACGAAAAGTGTGATCGAATCAGAGGGCGGAGATGTCGTGTTCTTCATCATCAGGGTCGGAGGAAGATGACGAGGGAATCGACTCATACAGGAAAGGAGGATATCATGCCGTGCGGATCGGCGATCCCTTCGCTGGTGGTCGTTACATCGCGCAGAGGAAGCTGGGTTGGGGTCAGTTCTCTACTGTATGGCTCGCTTACGATACTCAATCCTCTGTAAGGCCTTTTCCATTTATATATATCTAATTTCTTTACTCTTTCCTCACCCTTAAATATATGCTTATCCATGACTAATTGAATTGATGGTATTTTCTTCTGCTTTTATGATCTGGGTATTATTCATTTTGGACAGTTTAATTTTGTTCGTTCTTATTCTGATGCTTAGTTGCTTGAGATCTTCGCTTTCTAATTACATTTCACCTTCTTTCTTCTCCTCTATTTAGGTAGCTATCACTTTTTCATGCTTCTTATGGATTCTTTCTGTTTAACCGTTATGTTATATTTCCTTTTCCGGAACAATTCTGCTCTCTCTCTCTCTCTCTCTCTCTCTCTCTCTCTCTCTCTCTCTCTCTCTCTTTAATATTTAGATCTCTACAACATTTTTTCATCAGTATTCTGGGATCGGCGATTATCCCCTACACA